TCCGACTGAGCACCAGCCGAGCATTCTGGGTATCTCCTTTCTGCAGGAGCCAGCGAGGACTCTCCGGGAGGAAGAGGAACCCCAGGAACTGCAGCGCAGCAGGAACAACTGACAAACCCAACATATACCTATACACGAATACAAAAATGATTCAAAAATGATTACAAAAACCAGGTTATGAAAAACTTTTATATCTCATTTTTTATCTCGCATTCAAATTCTCTACTTTTCCTGCAGAATGTCTGAATATGACCATGTTTTTCATAATATGTGACCCTGGAGCACAAAACCAGTCTTAAGTAGCACGGTTCTATTTGTTGCAGAAGCCAAAAATACACTAAAATTAACGATTTTTCTTTTATGCCAAAAATTCATTAGGATATTAAAGATCATGTTCCATGAAGATATTTTGTAAATTTCCTACCGTAAATATATCAAAACTTAATTTTTGATTAGTAATATGCATTGCTAAGAACTTCATTTGGACAACTTTAAAGGCGATTTTCTCAATATTTAGATTTTTTTTTGCACCTCAGATTCCATATTTTCAAACAGTTGTATCTCGGCCAAATATTGTCCTATTTTTATATCTCTTTCCTTGTTTTCAGACGATGTATAAATCTCAGTTTTCAAAAAACTGACCCTTATGACAGGTTTTGTGGTCCAGTGTCACATATAATCGCTTTATACATATTTAGGTATAAGTAATATGTGTGTATGCAATATATTTATATTGCTATATAGTAGTTACCAGGGTATTATTATGCAGTAGCTGATGTGTTCTTACAATTTCTGTTGTTTTAATATTTTATTTATTTATTTTTATTTTATTAAATTATTTTTATGTTTAATTAAAGGGGTCCTATTATGCTTTTTCACTTTTTCAACTTTAGTTAGTCTGCAATGTTGCTGTTTGAGCATAAAAAAGATCTGCAAAGTTACAAAGCTCAAAGTCCACTTCAAAAGGAGATATTTTATTTAACAGAAATCACTTTTCAAAAACTACAACGAACGACTCGTTTGGACTACAACGCATATTTTCTGGGATTTGTGATATCACAAATATCGACGAATGGGACGAGACCTGGTTGAGCTGCACTACAGAAGGCAACGAGTGTTATCACTATGTCGGAGACGCGCTAGCTTTCCCAAGGCAGACGAATTTAGAGTGGT